GGAAGGAAGGGAGGAGGGAAGTAGGAAGGAAAGGGGGAGGGAGAGGATGGAAGGGAAGGAAGGAAGGAAGGGAAGGATGGAGGGAGGGGAGGAGGAAGGAAGGAAGGGAGGGAGGGAGAAAGGATCCTATATATAACTAATAGGAAAGAGTATCTCTAATCACTGGGGGGGAAAGAGCAAATATAGTGAAAAGATAAGAAGATATGCTTAGGTTTTATCAAAATGGCAAGAAGGTATTATATTCAGACATTAAATTATTTCTCAGCCCTTTCAGTTGTATCCATGGAAATTATTTCTGTGCTGTTCATTACTAGAACTGGAGAAAACAGAAACCTGTAATATAGTCATGGACCTTAACACTTTCAGATTTCATCATCTTACTCAAAAAATAAAACTTAATCAAAATAATGAGAAAACAGGAAGGCTCCAGAATATGTGGCACAAACATTAACCATAGGAGGACTTGAGAGAAAGGCAATATGTGAGTTTGTGTGGGCAGAAAAAGAGGAGTGAGCAGTAAGGAGCTGCTGCCTCCAAGGGCAAGGTAAGAGCGTAAAAGGAAACTGGAAAGACAAAAGGCCACAGGAAATGAAGCGTGTACACAAAAAAGGAGGCAAGTGATAGTGCAAGCTAGAGGAATTAATGAGGAGTAGGGCAACCACATAAAGAAGAGTTCCACAAAGTTATTCATTTATGAAAGAAATTGTGATATAGTAAGAAGAGCGAGGGCCCTGGGATGTAGGCTTTGAGCAAGAGGACCTGGGTTTGTACCCCGGCTCCACCACCTTCCGTGGGTCCAGGAGCTGGTATTTAAGAGACCCAAACCCAGGGCGCCTGGGTGGCTCAGTCAGGTGAGTGTCCAACTTCAGCTCAGGTCATGATCTCATGGTTCATTGGTTCGAGCCCCACGTCACGCTCTGTGCTAACAGCATGGAGCCTGCTTCGGATCCTCTGTCTCCCTCTCTCTCTGCCCCTCTCCTGCTCGTGCTGTCTCTCAAAACTGAATAAATGTTAAAAAAATAATAATAATAAAAAAAAGGAGACCTGAACCCAGATTTTCTTTCATCAAATACAGAGTTCTTAGGTATATTAGAGATAATGGTACAGCCTGCTCAGAGATGTTTAATAGCTACTATTATTATTCATGATGGTGCCTACACTGCCCAACACAAACCATCTGTGCGGTACAAAATGATCAGGCCAAAAAGTACCAGCTTGGTCAACCATATTAACAAAAATTAGCTTTAAAAATCTCACATATAAAGGAATGATCGCATGTCCTTTTAGTATTTTACCGGAACACTGCTAACAGCCTCACCCAAACATTACTTAACTCTTTAGGGATACATACTTATTTTGTGGCTTGTTTACTATTCATTAGGCTCAAATTCTGTGACATAAGGTGTTAATTTGTGGATTTTTAAAATTTAAATCCAAGTTAGTTAACATATAGTGTAATAATGCTTTCAGGAGTAGAACTTAGTGATTCCTTTCTTACACAGAACACCCAGTACTCATCACAAGTGTCTGCCTTAATGCCCAGCACTCATTTGGCCCATCCCCCCACCCCTCCCCACCTCAGTTTGTTCTCTGTATTTAAGAGTCTCTTATGGTTTGTCTCCCTCTCTGTTTTTATCTTATTTTTCCTTCCCTTCCCCTTTGTTCATCTGTTGTGTTTTTTAAATTTTACATATGAGTGAAATCATATGGTATTTGTCTTTCTCTGACTGGCTTATTTCGCTTAGCATAATACCCTCTAGTGCCATCCACAATTTGTGGATTTCTGTATGATTGAGATATCCAGTAGAAAACATACCCATAAGGGTATGGTTTTACTGTCCTGTACAACATTAACTAGTTTTGTCTCTGATTCAGCAAAATTATTTAGAGTGGGTCCTGTTGGGCCATATATTGTTACTCCAATTCTCTTTTGGACCACTTTTATCATCTTGCCGGCTCCCTCATTAAGCAATTAGATTTGTCATATTTTCATTTAAAAAAAGAATCTTTTTTAATGTTTATTTTTTCAAGAGAAACAGAACATGAGTGGAAGAGGGGCAGAGAGAGAGGGAAACACAGAATCCACAACAGGCTCCAAGCTCCAAGCTATCAGCACAGAACTTGACACAGGGCTTAAACTCATAAAGCGTGAAATCATGACCTGAGCCAAAGTTGGATGCTTAACCAACTGAGCCACCCAGGTGGCCCTCATTGATGCAATTTAAAAAAAAAACTTTTTTATTATGTTTATTTATTTTGAGAGAGAGAGAGAGAGAGAGACAGAGTGCGAGCAGGGAAGGGGCAGAGAGAGAGAGGGAGACAGAATCCAAAGCAGGCTCCAGGCTCAAGCTGTCAGCACAGAGTCCAACGCGGGGCTCAAACCCACAAACCGTGAGATCATGACCTGAGCTGAAGTCGGACACTTAACAGACTGAGCCACCTAGGCACCCATCATATTTTCATTTTATACCTGCCAAAGAGTGATGCCTTTAATATTCTGAAGATTACATTTTGACAAGTTGATTGGCTGAGTCAAAAAGGCTGGGTTTTCAGAACAGCTGTGCCTCTTGTACAAAGGCAGGCACCAATTCAGTAAAAAATAAAAAAAACAAGGGACATAGACACCTTTTCAATTAAAAGTTACCACTGATTTGGGGCGCCTGGGTGGCGCAGTCGGTTAAGCGTCCGACTTCAGCCAGGTCACGATCTCGCGGTCCGTGAGTTCGAGCCCCGCGTCGGGCTCTGGGCTGATGGCTCAGAGCCTGGAGCCTGTTTCCGATTCTGTGTCTCCCTCTCTCTCTGCCCCTCCCCTGTTCATGCTCTGTCTCTCTCTGTCCCAAAAATAAATAAACGTTGAAAAAAAAAAAAAAATTAAAAAAAAAATAAATAAATAAATAAAAGTTACCACTGATTAGGGACACCTGGGTGACTCAGTTGGTTAAGCATCCAACTCTTGATTTCAGCTCGGGTCATGATCTCACAGTCACCACATCAAGCCCTATGTCAGGCTCCATACTGAGCGTGGAACCTGCTTGGGATTCTCTCTCTTCACCCCCCCCCCCCCTTTCTGCCCCTCTCCTGCTAACATGCACACACAGGGGACCATTCTCTCTCTCTCTCAAAATAAATTTTTTTTTGAAGTTACCATTAATTAAAAAGAAACTCTCTAGATTTTCTATCATACCCATAGCACTAACCATAATAACACTGTAAGACAGAATACAATTACAGGGTGTGGTGAACCAGATAACAAAGCCCCTCTGACTACATTACTCATACCTTGGTTTGGAAATGAATTCTATTTCCTTCTTTCCACATCTCAGTTTTTATAGTCTGTCCTGGATATACTGGTTTTGAAAAACGAACCTTTAAAAGAAAGGAGTTTGGGGGTTAACAATGTTTTAAAATGAAACCTTTCTACTCGAGGGGAAAGAAATTCCAAGGAAGGTGGGAGAACAAAAAAGGAAGAAAACAGGTTTAAATATATTTAAATTCTTAAAAGGACAAAAACAGTAGTAAGAAAAAATTACAGCAACGATATAGTTCTTATAAGCTCATTCTTTATCTTTCAAAGCACAGAATCCATGAATAGTGTTTAATCTTGAGAAACAGAGACATCATTGTGTTAAGGACAGTGATACAGGTCGTCCCAGAACAACTTCATCAATGCAGGTGAAAGTAGTACTAAGTATATCCAGGGACTAAGATTTGGGGTGGCATCTAGAACAAAATAATCCCACTTCTGATTTCATAATTTTCTATGCCATGTTATTTGCTCTGTGTATGTTTAGCTAATAAGAGTAGCTACAGTAATATGAAAAGCATGAAAATAATCTGTGTTATTAAAGGCAACACATCAGAAAATGCAATTTCACTGCTGCAAAGAACACAACTGATAAAAGCTTTTGGAGCCATTTGACACTGTCTTAAACCATTTGTTAGTGTCTGTCTTTAGACTTAACTTCTGCAAAGATGCTGTGTAGAGACAGGGTTTTTTTGTAATTTATAATAGATGAAAACGTGAAACCAACTTAAAAGTACAAAAACTAAAATCAATATGCAGCCGTCATGTTGACATAGGTATACGTTAATGAGTTCAAATGCAGCCACTTAACATTTTTTAATTAAATTAAGACAAATTACAAAATAGTCAAGAAAAAAAATGTTTAAGGTAAACCTCAAGTTTTTATTAATGCGTATATACTGAAATATGCATGTATGCTCCTAATTAATGAAACAATCAAATTAATCTGTGGAAATTATAATTGTATATGATATCTTTCATGGTTCATGCGTAAGAGGTATTTATAGCTACAATAAGAACACGGGCTGATTGCCAAGTCAATGAAATAATAAAAATGTGTATTGCTTCAGTACAGTACCTACTTCAAATGAAGTCACTAAAACTCCTTTTCTAAAAATAAAAAAGGGAACTAATGTTCAAATTATGCAATAATACACGTATACCTTAATTGCCTTGAATCTTGACGCATCATTATCTGCAAACTTCTGTAATACATGCCTGGCAGAAAATCCAAATGTACATAATCCATGTAATATGGGCTTGTCAAAACCTAAAAAAAAAAAAAAAAAA